GGAATCAAATTCTAAGAGTTGAAGTAGAAAGAGTTCAGATATTCATTTCATTACCCTCCCCAAAATGTACTATTTTATATTTTTAAGAAGAGATAGATATATGAAAATTGCAGACTTTCTTTCCCAATGGGATTAAAAGGATGAATTTCATAATGTCCGCAAAGCACCTTGATCCCCAGGAACACCCCAGGGACGCAAGCTGACTGCCTTCCTTTCGACTTCATCAGCTTTCCCCACTTTCTCAGGTGTTTTATCCTCATACTGTTTGCCGAAGCAAGATTCAAGAGAAAATATTGTTTCAGGCCTTAATTCAGCAGGAGGCAAAATGAGATTCAGAACCTACAGGCTTCTTTGAACTTTAGGAACAGTTAAAATAAATAAACACATGTTTCCCTCCTCCTTCGTTGCCTCCAAAAGGTGACGGCGGATAGGTGGGCACAGGGAGGACAGGGACTTGCACGGCTCACTGTTACTCACTGGCATGTGGCTATATGGCCATTTTCTTTCTCTGTCCATTGTAAACATACAACATATTAGTAAGAGGGATAGAAAAGCAAATGAGGAGTACTTCTACCATTGTTGTGCTGATGGTCATGATTGTTAAAAAATATAAAGGGTCTTTTGATTGTTGTTGCTCTTACCTGAAGTATTGACTCTTCTGACATATTTGTGCACCCATTGCTAGCAAGTCAATTCCAACCCTACTTGTGTCCTACTTGGTAACCCCCTTAATTGTGGGGTAAAACTGCCTCAACAGACTTTCTTAGCTGTCATCTTCACAGAAGCAAATCTCCAGGTCTTTATTTCATGGTACCCCTGCGTGTGAACAAACTGCCAAGCTTTAGGTTAGTAGTCAAGCACAAACCATTTGTGCTACCAATAACTGTACTAATACAAAAAAAAATCAATATGTAAATAGATACTCCAGTCAAGCATAAGAAGGAATTCTCAGGATCATTAATGATTAGTTCCAAAGCAAAACAACCTGGAGATAACATCTCATGCCAGCGTAAGAGAAAAGTATTTTTAAAGAAATAGAAAACAGTAAATACTGGAGAGGGTGGGGAGAAACTGGAGCGCTCATACATTGCTGGTGTGCCTGTGAAATGCTTCGACTACTGTGGGTCGTGGTATGATACTTCCTTAAACATTTAGGAATAAAGAGGCCACGTTGTGTAGCATTCTTCTGCATGTAATAAGTCTGGAGCTTTGACTTGGCATAAGTAGACATGTGCACCCATGCTCATGGTAGCACTGTTCACAATGGCAAAACTACAGACAGGACCTAAATGACCAGCATTGTAGTAATGGTTGAACAAACTATGGTATATAAATTAATGGAATGTTAGGAATGTTAAAGATTAACAGTGAATTTATGGAATGCCTCATAGCATATGAACTTGGAGGACATTGTACTGTGAAAAATAAGTCAATCAAAAGAAGGACAAATATCGCATGAAGCCACTCGTGTAAAAAGTCAACCAAAGTTGTCACACTAAAAGAAACATTCTTTGATGGCTATCAAGGGTGGTAAATTACTGGCTAGAGGGTAGAATTGTGTTCACTTGGGTAAAGAGAAAGACAGTACACAATAAGAGGGACATCAGGGGAAAAACTCATGGAAGCAAGGGAGAACATTGGAAGGAGTTAAAGGTAACGGCGGTGAATACTGTTATATACACAATCCTAAAGAAACAGTGATCTACAGGGAAATACACAAGTAGCTACTCAGTTTGAAAGGATGTGGGAGGGTGAAGGGGGGTTGTTGGTAGTGCCATCAAATAGGCTCCAACCCTTAGCTGCCCTATGCATAAGAGAACCAAACACCGCCCAGTCCTGTCTCATCCTCACCGCTGTTCCCATGCTTGAGCCCATTGTCGCAGCCACTGTGTCAGTCGTCTTCTTGAGTGTCTTCCTCTTTTTCATTTTACCGAGCATTCGTTTCTTCTTCAGGGACTAGTCTCCCCTAACAACATACCCAAAGTGTGGAAGATGAAGTCTCCCCATCCTTGCCTCTAAGGCAGTGGTTCTCAACCTTCCTAATGCTGCGACCCTTTGATACAGTTCCTCATGTTGTGGTGACCCCACCCCCAACCATAAAATTATTTTTGTTGATACTTCATAACTGTAATTTTGCTACTGTTATGAATCGGGCAACCCCTGTGAAGGTTCATTTGACCCTCTGTGAAAGGGGTCGCAACCCACAGACTGAGAACCACTGCTCTAAGGAGTACGCTGTCCTTACTTCTGCCAAGATAGTCCATGGTACTTAGTAGTACATGGTACTTTCAATATTCTTCTTCAGCCCCACAATTGCAAAAGCATCAATTATTTTTCTCTCTCCCATCTTCAATGTCCAACTTTCACCGACAGATGAGGCAATCTGAGGTATGTCTGGCTTGGGTCAGACACACCTCCCAGGAACCTGCTTGCTTTCCAATACTCTAAAGAGCTCTTGTGCAGCCGATTGACCTAATGCAATGCTTCTGTTGATCTCATGAGCATTGATTTTGGATCTAAGTAAGACAATAATTCGTGACAACTTCAAACTTGGTCAAGTTGTGAAGATTTTTGTCTCCTTTATGTTGAGCCGTAATCCATACTGAAGGCGGCAGTCCTTGATCTTCATCAGCACGTGCTTCAAGTCCTCTTTCAGCAAGCAAGGTTGTGTCATCTGCATATCTCTTATCGTTAATAATCCTTCCAGCAAGCCTAACGTCACATTCTTCATATAATCCAGCTTCTCTGCTGATTTGCTCAGCATACAGATCGAATAAGCATGACGGGGGTAGCCTGACACATACCTTTCCTGAATTTAAACCATGCAGTATTCCTTTGTTCTGTTTGCACAACTGTCTCCATGTACAAGTAAGTGCCTCATGAGCACGAGATGTTGTGGAATTCACATTCTTCTCAAGATTATCTGTAGTTTGTTATGATCCACACAGTCGGATGCCTTAAATGATGAGTTTGAACTGCCAACCTGTTAATCCTATTGTTAGCGGCTGAACACTTAACCCCAGCACCACAGGAGCTCCCCAAGAATGCCCAGATAAGTTCCAATTGGCCCTCTTTCCTTTGTTAATGCAGAGTTCACCACTTGAGCCACCCAAGGGCCCAGAAGGGATATATCTGTGTAATGTATGAGGGAAGTAACACTTCAGGAAAGGAAATCCCTAGTGAAAGGTGGGTGCCATCAAAACACTTTCCCTGATTTCATCTTTTTGCCGAGAAACAATCCTAGACCAGTCTCATGTCATATATCTACTAGATATATCTGACTTAATGTATGTCCTGGTGTGAAGCATACTGTATTGCATAGAAACCCAGTACTCCACCCTGGGCTGTACCATTCCTTAGACAAAGTTCATTCTTTATGCCCATCATCCCGACTGCCACCTGGCACTATTCCACCCATCACCCTGCAGCCAAAGAGATCATTTTGTGATTCAGATCTGATCCTTTCATATGCCATGCCCCCCTTTTTCAATAAAGGCCACAAGCCCCTAAGCAAGCCTGCAAGCCTCTCCGTGACCTAGTTTCTTCTCCACTCACCAGCTGCATCTCACGCTGAGTCCCCCTCACTCATTACACTGGACCACTGTGACTTCTTACTGTGCTGTAAGGTATCCTGTTTTTCTGGCCCTTGCATTTTCAGCTCATGCAAGCTGCGATGGTCTTCCCAGTCCCTGACGATTGCATGCGTATTATGTAGACCTCAGCTAAAATTTAAGTTAGTTCCTCAGGGAAGTCTTTGCTGACCACATCAACGAGGTCCCCATTATACCATATAACAATACCCTGTACCGCTGCTTCTCGTCCACTTTCAGAAATTGTGAAAAGAAATTAATTAGCTGTGTAATGGTTGTCTGCTTATGTCCCAGCTGCTAATCTCCATGAGGGGAGATGCCATGTTCATTTTATTCATTATTGTATTCCCAGGCCCTAGTATCTTGTCTCATACAGAGTAGTTGGTAAATATTTGCTGGACTGAGATGTTTCCCAAATAATATTTCCAGCATATGTGGAGGTCACTGGGAGGTGGCAGTCAGATTCATAACTATCTGTCTTCTGGCCATAAAGCAAATGTCTTATCGGAAATTGAAGTAGCTGGTGGTTTTCATTATTATAGAATAGAAAATAGCCTGACTTAATTGAGGCAGATGGTCCATGAAGAATGCTTCAATAGTAAAATAGAACGTCTGACCTTTGGTGGTCAAGAAATATTGCAAAAGTTATATTTGGGACTTAGTCCAGCCCTATGTCATGAACAAATTGTTTTCAAAATTAGTGTAAACCAATATATCTTTCTCTCATTCTGCAGTATCTTGATCTTCTACATCGTCCTGGACAGTTGAATCTGACATATCCTTATGGGCATTTCTTTATTTACATCTCCTTTACCTTCTATTTCCCCCCTCGGTTTAGCCACTTTTGTGTTGGACTATAGTGTCTAAATTGGATTAATTCAATGTTAAGAAAAGTGTTATTTGGTCAAGGCTGACTCTTCCCTCACCACCCACAATCGAAGAATGTGACTGCCCTTACTATACAGATAATGAGCTATTGCTTTGAATCATTCTGGCCATTCTGCTCATCCTGCAAAAATGAGCTTAGTATAAAATTCTCAAGTAGCTGGGGAAAGACTCAACAACAATGAGGCTGGGGTAAGAAAATAACCAGGCCTGGGTAAGAAAAATGCATCAAAATCTTACGTTTTATAACATGCTATTATTTACAAAGCCATTTGACATTCCATCTCTCTTGATCCTATCTTCAAGTGTAGCAAGACAGAAATGTTTACTGATTAGGAAAAGGAGCCAGCACATTCCTAGCTCAAGGTCACAGAGCTAATAAAGAGAATACTAGGACTCCAATATCTACATTTTTCTACTTTGGTAGGCCTTTGTAACTGTGAGATATGGTTCATGTGTTAAGAAAGCAAACCCAAAGCACAAACAATTTTTCTCAGGAGTGTCTTCATTGATGGAACTTGGGTCTTACTCTTCTTGGGAAATCTTCATCTTCTTAAAAACTTTCTCCAGAGCCCCTTTCACTTCCTTGTTTCGGAGACTGTAGACCATTGGGTTCAGCATGGGGATAATCACAGTGTAAAACACAGACACAATCTTGTCCTCTCCTAGGGATGTGCCCATGTCACCTTTCAGGTACATGAATATGAGAGTCCCAAAGAAAAGAGCCACTGCAGTCATATGAGAAGCACAGGTTGAGAAGGTCTTGGCTTTGCCACCTGCTGTTCGTATCCTCAGAATGGCCCTAATGATGAACAAGTACGAGACAAGAATCACGGAAATACTGGTTGTGATGACTGTAAAAGCTAAGAGGTAAATCACTTGCTCCCGTGGCTTGGTGTTGCTACAGGCAAGCCTCAGCAAGGGTGGCAGGTCACAAAAGAAGAAGTCCACATAATTGGAATTACAGAAGGAGAGGGAGAAAGTACACCCCGTTCTGATCACAGAATTGACCATTGCACCAGCATATGCCCCAGCCACCAGTCTTAGGCGGATTTCTGGTGTCATGGCTGTGGTGTAGAGGAGAGGGTTACACACAGCCACATAACGGTCATATGCCATCACGGCCAACAGGAAACATTCAGTGCTAGCATAAAGTGTGAAAAAGAAGAATTGGGTGGCACAGCACTCAAAGGTGATGACTGTCTTATCAGCCCCTAAGGTCTCAAGCAACTGAGGGATGATGACAGAGGAATAGCAAATGTCCAGGAAGGAAAGGTGACTAAGAAAGAAGTACATGGGAGTCTGGAGGTAAGTGTCACTCTGAACCAATAGGATCATGCCCAGGTTGCCCACAATGGTGACGAGGTACACGATCAGAAACACAAAGAAGAGGCCCATCTGCCACTCTGGCTGAAGCTGGAATCCCATCAGCACAAATTCCGTCACCATAGTGCTGTTTTCTGCCATTAAGCCAAGATCACTTCCTGAAATAAAAAATAAAAAAAATAACGTCTGTGTTTGACATTCTCAGTGAATATTATTTTAAGTTTGACCTCACCACCAACACCCATTGTTTGCATAAATTGCGCCCAGTTGTGTAAGGATTTATTCTATACAAGTCAATAATCCATGCACTGAAATTTTAGTTAGCCTACACTTGTTCAATCTCACTTTCTCTATAGGTTTTCACTCTTAAGTTAGTACCAAGGGCTAATCAATGACACTATAAAAGGAAGGTCCTTATCCTTTAGGGAGATGATCGATAAAATTCTCTGCCATAAAATAACAAGATGTCTCTAAGGTGAATCAGAAGCAGATAAAAAACATAGATTTAGGAATGGATTTGGGGCTTGTACTTAATTCTAGCTCCAAACTAAGTAAGAACAATTAGTTCTTATGACATGCCCCTGCTTGATAATCGCCCTCATGAAGAAAACACAGAAGATATGGGTGCTACAGCAAAGTGTGGTGAAAAAGTACATGGTGTCCGGCTACCAGAACGAATAGCATCTGGGGTCTTAAAGACTTGTTTTCAAACAAGCAGCCAACTAAGTGAGACAAGTAAACCCACATGGAAGAAGCACACCGACACCTGTGATCCAAGGATTGTAACTTATATAATCCAAATCTGAAAGTGAGAATAGTATTAGAGTTTAAATTGTAAGATTGTCGTGTGCAGAGGACTATGGATGACAATGGAAGCCCATAATACATTTGCAGGATCTACACAGGGAATAAGCCTCCAGTGATTTCCCTCCAACCATAATTGAGGGATGGGAATAAGCTGGTTATCTCACAGAGAGTATTGGAGAGATGACTATAGTAGATTAAAATGATAAATCTGACTTGAATGGGTAAAACCTTGTCATTGTAAAACATTGTCATCTCCCTTTGGATACACTCTGTACTTTATTTTCTTTCAATATTTTCTGTTTTTTTTTTTATTTGGGGTTGATTTCTGTTGTGGTTTGTCATTATTGGTATCCTTCTTGACTCTCGGTTTTGTATTTTTCTATGTTTTGATCTATGACACCCAAGATGGGT